AGGACCCCAGTCTTGCTCCCACATCTGAAAAAATAGATGAAAAAGTCCCACTTCATCCAAATACAACCACAGAACAACTAAAACAGGCTTGTTCATATATTTATCAGCCTAGAGCTCTGAGAACTTAAGCACCCTAACAGGCTTCTGATTTTTTAATGTCAAAAGTTTAACTAGAATCACCTGCTGCCTCCCTAACCCCAACCAACTTTTTCCCCCAGAGCTACCTTTCCCTTCATTTGCTTGCCATGTCACAGACATTTGTCAAAAAAGCCAAAATGAAGTGGGCCAGACATGCTTAAACTGACCAGGCATATCTCTCTCCACAAGTGTCTTAATTTCTCACAGAGACCATGTATATAATCTGTCAGTAAAACACACACTATAAGAGTACTTCAGCTGCCATCAACCATAAGGTGTTCACTTTAGTGTGATCTAAATGCTTCTTTTCTATACACTTGTAAGCAGCAAAAACTGACAAAGGCAGTTTTACCCATGTTTTAATGCTGGGTATGTGTTTGCCAAATGAATCAGATGTTAGTATCTCTTAGACATCAAAGGCTTGAGTTTACTTGAATACTTGGGTTTCAATTATCAAACAAAAAATTACTCACAAGCTCAAAGTGTAGAGGTAAGTTTTCATTTCAATTTCTTGCTGCCTGAGGGTCTTGAGAAGGTTCATTGTTCTGCACTTTGGTTCCAGTCTGTAAAATGGGAATCAGCTCTCTTCCCCACATTTTTGCTCTTTTATAGTCTTAGCTTCTCTTTTACTCTCAATTAATAGACAAAAACATAAATGTCAGTGAAATAGGAATACTCTTCCACATTGGGATGAAGGTTTCTCTACATTGCACAGATAATGAATTGACCATTTCACATAGTCAAGCAACAATCACAAAAGTGCCCCAACACAACTGTAGCTAGTTTATCTGAACGCATGCAGGTGAGAAGTTTTGAAAGCCAATGCAGAGACAGTCACTATGAACTGAAGGAGTCAACAAAGGCTGTGCTCACCTGATGAAGAATATTCAACACAATATGGTTGATCATGCTACAAAATCTGATTATATGATAAGTAAAAATCTGAATCAAGCATGATTAACTTTTTATTTGAACAATGATGTTTCTCAAAAATAGTCCTTGTAGTCCTTGCAGCAGCAACCAAAAAGGCACATAAGAACAAAACAACCCAGAATACAGATCAAGCAGAAAATAAAATGTTCAAATGCATTCTTAAAGCAAAATCCTGAAATACATAGCTACAGTTGTTATTTTATAAAAAGGTACAGTTTACTGTCATCCTTCCTTAGCAGTTTCCTCTGATTGGTGTAATGTGTCCATCTGTGCTTACTGAAAATCCTGGCAGCATAACCTCCAAATATTACTATCCAATTACACGGGGATTTTATGTACACGTATTGAGTTCTATTTCAGTAGCTACCTGTGAAGCTCCCCCTCTAAGGTATAGCTGTTTAGAGATAAAACTTAGCACATCCCATTTTAGTGCTTCTAAGTAGTTTGACTAAGCTAGTATTTAGTTGCTGATTCAAAATCTTGGTTCATTCTTCATGTTGCTTATGACCCCTCTGCAAGGCTGGTGTAAAGACCCCCTGACTGAACGTACTGTAATGGAATTACAACAGTTTCACAATTCAGAGGTTTCAGTTTAGATATTTCAAAGTTAATAATATAAAAAACCTCACCCACAATAACAAATATGCCTATAATTACATATGAAATGCAGGAAGAAAATAGGATTTAATATGAATTTGCTATTTAGATAATGGAATTCTCTGGCTAGGCATTCTTAAAAACTAGCTTCCAAAAACGGTTAGAGAAAGATATAAACAAAAAAGAATTTAAGTTCCTCCTATAATTCAATAATAAGTGGCATAATACAGCAAAAAAAGAATCTCTTAATGTGTTATTTTCTCCCTTTTGGCACTATTAGGAACAACCTATCTTCATCTGGGGGTGGGGAATAATTCCTTGACATTTATTTAAGTTACTACCTTCTGAGAATATTCAGAGAAAACTATGTATTTTAGATGTTTTTGGGGAAAACTGAATGTTCATACGTATTTTTGAAAATGTTTAAAGGTTTGAAGAAATAAATTTAAAACTTTTTAAGATGCAACTTATGAAAGACTCCTGTATGTAACAGTGATATCCCATTTTAAGGAATGCTAGTAAATGATAGAGTTTGAATTGCAAGTACACGGTGTCATTCACCAGTTCCAAAATTCAGCATTCTTCCCCTCACTGCATTTTTACCATTCTGGAACAACCTTGCTAGTCAGTTGTGCCATCAGTGGAAGAACTTGAATATCTGAATTGCAGTCACTATACAGTGTAAAACTCTTATCCTGATAATGTGGGGAAAGAGGAATCCAAAACAGCAGTCTAATTCAATACAGACTGGGCAGCTTCCTTAAGAAGTGATGCAGCTTTGTCCAGTTCTTGTTCTGTTTGTTCCACTGTTATCACTACTCGAATACTAGAAGAAGAAAAACAGAACATACACAGTAAACTTTACTCCTTGCCTTCTGCTTTAGCCCTTTTTGTACTAATTTTAATACATTAAGATCACTACCTCTAGGGAAATTATTATGAATTCAAATTCAAGCAGAAACAAGACACATGACTAAACAGAAATGGTCAGACTACTTTTTTTTTTTTTCCCATACACACCACAGAAATTTGTTGTCTTTTCTACCTGCAGAATGTGCAGCTCGTGGAAATATGCCTGGTAACAGGCAACATGATGACCACTGATATTTAGGTAGTTTTGACACAGTTATTTCAGGGTATTAGCATCCTGTAACAGTCAGTGAAAACAGACCTCAAAATGGGGCCTTTCCCATCCTTTACAGGGCCAACTATTCTATCCAGTCTACTGAACAAAACCCCATCATTGTATGGAAAGAGACAGAAAGTCATATCCAGTAAAATGAAATAATGTATTGACTTTCTACTAACCTGGGTGGAGGAAGACATTTTTCTTCTTTCTCCAGATAGCGGGCCTGAGTTAATGCAATACCACTATTCATGCACTATAAATACAGAGAATACAGCAGTCATCAACCTGGAACTTCTGATGGTATATCCTTTTGATCACCAAATACATACAACTGATTTTTATTAATTTGGTGTCAGCATAACTGTAGTTCTTTCACAAATGGAGGTTTTGAAGGTTGTACAAAATAATCTCCAACTTTAATACAGCACAAACACATAAAACAGGTTAGGGTGTAGCTTTTTTAGCTTTCATCTACAAGTAGTCAGAAAAAAATGCTGTATTAAGTGGGCTATTAAATCATGTTTAAGCATATTTTCAAGGAAATCAACTTCAGTGTTTCTTTTTGTTGTGTAGTCTTGTTTACCTACCACCTAAAATATAAACTTTCCTCATCAACCTTCATGTCCTTCATGTGGGAGAAAGAGAACCAATGTGTATTAAGATGGCAAAAATACTACATAGAAAACATGACATTCTTCACACAAAAAAACAAGTTAATGGACTCAATACTCTACCATAACTCTGTTCAAATAGCCTTTATTCTTATGAACATCATAAAAGTTTTCTAATTGACAGTTTTATATGCAAATTTAACTTGAGTTTTGAAGTACATAACAGGAAATAATTATTTTCTGAAGAGGTCTAACATGTATTTTTATCCAGTGCTACAGACCTAAACATCTGCAGCAAGACATGGTGAGACGATGGTCTTTAATATAGCCCTATAGTCAGCAAAGAAACTGAGTTTCTTATACTATTCCTCCAAGACATTCCAACAAGATACCCAACAATGATACATTTTAATTGCTATGGGGACACTTACATAATCCACAACTCTCTTGAGTGACTTCACATCATCTTCTCTAGATCCACAGCTCTCTTCCAACTGTAGATGTAACGCTGGAGAAAAAGATTCTCCCACTACTTTTAAGCCAGAAATCCTAAAACAAATAAAAAGCCTTTAATGCACATCCTACTTGAACATACAGTCAAGTTCCAGATAGTGTTTCCCCTTTCCAGGTGGTGAGTGAGAAGAAAGGGATATTTCGCTTTACTAATGCAGACAAAAACATATATGCATTTAAGCTTGCAACAGGTAAAGATAACAAAAATTATCAAATGAGTGTCTTTCCTAAAGAGTTTACTAAATGTAGTTTCAGCAAGTTTGTGTAACAATAGCGACTTATTTTGCAAAAAGGATTAACAACTCAGAAATTTTGAAAGGACCGTTATGAAGATGTGGGAGAAATGCTGGCATTACGCCTGTATGTTGATAAAAAACCAGCTAAGTCAAGTCTTTGGAGTCTATATTAAGAAAATAAATAATAATACATCTTTTTACCTACTTATGTGATAAGAAGAAACAACATTTATTTTTTTGGCAAGACTTCTGTTTTTAAATTTTTTCCTTTAGAAAATCTTTACAACATCATCTGTTACTTAGTCAGAATCTCCTCTAAAACTAGTTACATTACTAGAATTGCTCCCACATCTGTACCTAGGGACAGTTCTTAGTCAGGCTCATAGAATTTGATTGAACAATTGACATTTGATTGTCAGTGCCCTGACACATCATATAATCAAATTCAGGACTGAGTTATTCCCCTCCAAAAAACTGTATCTAATACCCAAGGAAGACCTCTGGCATCCAAAATTAACAGGTCCCATCAGCTGTGATTTTGATTTCCTGACTTTGATGAGCTGGATCAATGGGTCAACGTCAATTGTATGAGGTTTAATAAGGCCAAGTGCCAGGTCCTGCACTTGGGTCACAACAACCCCATGCAACGCTACAGGCTTGGGGAGGAGTGGCTGGAGAGCTGCCCGGCAGAAGAGGACCTGGGGGTGCTGGTTGACAGCCGGCTGAACATGAGCCGGCAGTGTGCCCAGGTGGCCAAGGCGGCCAACAGCGTCCTGGCCTGTATCAGAAATGGTGTGGCCAGCAGGAGTAGGGAAGTGACTGTGCCCCTGTACTTGGCACTGGTGAGGCTGCACCTTGAATCCTGTGTTTGGTTTTGGGCCCCTCACTACAAGAAGGACATTGAGGTGCTGGAGTGTGTCCAGAGAAAAGCAACAAAGCTGGTGAGGGGAGCACAATTCTTATGAGGAGCGGCTGAGGGAATGGGGGTTGTTCAGTCTGGAGAAGAGGAGGCTGAGGGGAGACCTTATCGCTCTCTACAACTACCTGAAAGGGCGTTGTGGTGAGGTGGGTGTTGGTCTCTTCTCCCAAGTAACTAGCGATAGAATGAGAGGAAATGGCCTCAAGTTGTGCCAGGGGAGGTTTAGATTAGATATTAGGGAAAATTTCTTTTCTGAGAGAGTGGTCAAACATTGGAACAGGCTGCCCAGGGAGGTGGTGGAGTCATCATCACTGGAACTGTTCAAAAAAATGTGTAGACGTGGCACTTCAGGACATGTTTTAGGGGGCATGGTGGTATTGGGTTAATGGTTGGACTTGATGATCTTAAAGGTCTTTTCTAACCTTAATGATTCTGTGATTCTTCTTCAGCAACAAAACTGCAAACATTCTGGTGTCATTCACCTACACTTGCCAACTAACCAAACAACAGGTGATTTCTTTAATACAGAAGCACACACTCTGCATTTGTATCACTACTGCACACATATCTAGGAATCAGGGATACAGCATTTGGTAACAGAAAGGACAAGGAAAAGCAGTGCAAGGTTCAGCTACAAGGTTGAAAGGCAATACACAGTATAGCTGTATAACATATCTGTTCTTAGTTACATTCCCTAGGACTGATTTGACTCCTAAGAAGTAGCACTCTACAAGCAGGGAGACGGGAGAAGAAGTCAGATGAAGTTTCACTGTAATTTAAATCTGTTTGCTGGAGAACAGAGTTTAAGACAAGTTACTAAAACAATTAGGTTTTGGTTAGAGACACACAGTATTACGTTCTAGCTGTAAAATAGACATAATTCTTCAATTGAAATAGATAACCATAATCTGCTCCCCTCCAAAGAGAAAAGATGAGTAGGAAGCAATCTTTTTATCACTTCCATCCAAACTGAGTCTTTGTCTGAACAACTTGCTTTGTATTTGCTATATACTTACTCATAGAGGCTGCTTACAAGTTTCAAACAATTTTCATCTTAAAACTTTTTCTGTCAGTCACAGCTGTAGTAAACTGAACTACATAATTCGTCTCACCCAACTATTTGAAGAAACCCATGTCTTCCGATGGCAATGCTTCAACTTTCATGTAAAGTATTAACTACATTTTTCTGAGCTTCTGCCAAATTAAGATTCAACAAGTATTTGAGAATCCAATGCATGCAAAACTGTAACTTTCCTGAAACCATAAGTCACTTTCCCAAGAAATGCTAGGAAACTTTCATTTTCAAACAAAAATGAAACTTTCATTTTCAAACAACTTCCACACAAAAAAGAGAGAAGTCTGAAAGATCTGACTTTGAAGTAACAAAGGAACAAAACTAGCCTCCTGAACTCCAACAGTCCTTTTAAGGCTAGTTCTATATTAGTAAATTAAATATGCCTTGGACTGTCTTTTGGCCCTGTGGTGAATGGGTATGGAATGACTCACATCCATACTTTTAAAATCTGAGTCTCCATGTCAGGGTGGCCACATCCAAACTGACTACTGTGAACAGCTCCTGGCTCATGCCAACACTTGAACTGTATCTAGGAGTCCTTTCAAAGAGTGTTGCTTGGCCTGGGCCAAATCCATGCAACAGATCACTCTAACAATTTGACAGAGTAGACAATCGAGATCCAGTGCCCAGGAATGCTTCCTGACATTAACGTACCAGTAAGGATGTAGCCTTGGGGGAGCTCCCTTCTTCACAACTCTCCACACCCCAGCTACAAGGCTGGGCTGCAGAACTGAGTGGCAGGATTAGGGTCTTGGCAGTAGGGAACCCTGTGTAGCCGGGTTGCACTGAGCATCATAAACATTATGTCAGTTTTGCTAACAGAAAACTAGAATAAGGTCTCATTGAAAAAATGTCAAGTTTCTCTGGAAGGGAAGATCTTTAAAAATAAATCTGCTTTTCCCCAATGAAGACTTGCTTTATTGGAAAATTCTCAGCCAGGGGTAGGACATGCAGTAAGTACTGAACTATTTAAAGGATACTACATACTACTGTCATGCTTTTTAAAAAAACACAAAATACTGTTCCGTCCATCCTGCCTCCCAGCTTCTTTATTTCTATTTACTAAGACACTACATATTTTTAAATACAGGTCAGAAATCTAAGACTGTTAAGAAAGTTTGTGTTAGTCATCCCATCTCTTACTGCATTTTCTTATGCTTTATAAACTGCCATGGACAATAAGAAAGTAGTTCTATGCATGATTCAGAAGAATTCTTCCATTTCTTCCACAAGCTGGCACTTGGCTTGTACCCAGAACAGGACTAAACACCAGTCATTCCTCCAGCTTACAACATTATGGTTTCTTCCCCCACCATAGTCCATATACAGACCAACATTTTTTTGGTAACACTAATAATGCACTGGTCCTTATATATCAAGTCCTATATTTCATGGGTTAATTACACTTTGGCTAAAAGAAAGATTTCCTTTACTTTGAATTTGTTCCTCTCACTGTATTTGTTCTATTATGAGAAAGGAGAAAAGCTGTGTATTCTTTCCCACTTTCTCTGTGTACAGTTCTACCACCATTTTATGTTCTCTTTTAAACCAAGTTAGTTCCACTCTGTCATGGTGAGAACTGGAGTCAAGCAGCAGCCATGGTTAGGCACGGAAGATGAGTGCATTTAACACCACAGCATTAAAAAAACCTTTTTCTGAAAACTTTGCCTCTTCTTTGAACCATTACACACATTTTCTAGTGTGGTTATAATTAAAAAAAACACATTGGCCCCTGCAAATATTTGTTCAAGTCTCTGATATTGCTTTATGCAGTTGTTAAGATAATTTTCCTGCTATAGGGCTGCCCAATTCACTAGTGTTGTTAAATCTTTCAAGTTCTTTCCCAGTATGACCTAGAAGAACTACTTCCTTTGCCATTTTTTTTGACCTCTATATTACCACACTGTTTTCCATAAGACAAAAATATACAAGTACTATTACAGATACTCAGGCGTTTTGCCTACTTGTTGATTCAGGACTATACTCATCACTGAATTTAAGTGAAAAAGTAGAGTCAGTCACAGGATAGAAAAGTACCAGCCATAGCTTATTCACTTCTGTTTTGCAGTGAATATTAACAAGTAAAAGGTTGATAATTTTTCCTTACTTTTTTTCCCTATATTTTAAACATTTATAATTATCCCCCCAAAATTACAGATAGATAAGAATATTACAATTATTCTCCTTTTAGCTCAGTTATAACATTCTATTACTAGCAAAGAAGAGATGCTAACAGCTTTCAAATTACTCTCAAATTTTAATTTCAAGCATAGAAGCATCTAGGTATCTTTGACCTGAGAGCCTATATATTTTAAACGTGTGTTGAAACAGAATATACCCAAAGGAGACAAGGATTATTTGATAGTAGTATTATTCCAAAGAAGTTGAATGTAGCTGAAGTTCTAACATGAAACAACAGCTAAGGAGGAAACTGCTTATTTGAAATAACAAGCAACTCACACTGAATAACTAAGTGACTAATACTACAAAAAAATCAGATAGTATAATCAATCATGCATTATTTTTTGTGTGTTTAAATGTTATTCTTTTCTGTAATATGTAACAGAAAACTGTTGAAGAAAATGAATTGTAAAATGCCAGTTAATATATCTGTTCTGCACATTAAACAGTCATTGAACAGTCACAGTAATTTCTGTATTTTTTAGTATTAAAACCTGTCAGGAAAAAAGAATTACTCAGTATAGCCATCTTTTAAAACACGATAGTGTTAGGAAATTTGAACTAAAATCCTTATCTTTCAGATAAAATCTAGCATTTTCCTGTGTGCCTCCACAATAATGAATACTTCTTAATATTTAACATTCAAGTCTCATACGTAAGAACAATATTTTATTAAAGGTGATTGCAAGGTGCACTGAGTTGTCTGAAAGAGTATCTGCTAAGCTACATCACAAACACTTTTACTTAGGCATTTTTTTCAAAACGCTTGTCAGTGCTTATCATTTTGTACCATCGAAAGCTATCACACCCTCCTAGAGACTTAAATGGGTAAGGGCTTGCAAACATCCTCACTAGCATTAAGGTATAATCTCATTTCAACACCTGTAAAGGGATTTTAAAAACTTGGACTCTTCTTAGTAGCAAAACAGTTGGAAAAGGATGACTTTCTTCCTTTAATACATACATAATTTAGTGTACATATTGCAGTCTAAGCATCTGTAAAACCAGAAACAGATTTGGGCAATGAGAGTTTACTTTAAAGTTGGCATTATAAAGGCATGGTCAAATCAACAATAGCAAAAAACCCCCCAAAACCACACTTACCCCTGTAAAGCTTTGTGAATTCGTTTGCATTTAGCCCGGAGAGTCTGAAAAATGTCTATACACACACACAAAAAAAAAAAAAGGCTCATATATTCTTTTTCTACTTTACATTTCTGTAAGATTAAAAAAATTGTAAGGAAAACTAAGATACACATATCTATTGAAGTTCTAAGTGTCTTCACTACTCTTCATAATGTTCTTGATTCCCATTTCTGCCAGGAAATGACAGGCTTTTAAGATCTGACAAATGCATTACTTCCCTTTATCTCATTACTCCAGCTGCACTGGTTCATGATCATATGGAAAGGATGACACAAACACTTGGTAATGGGATTGAAATGGCAGGTCCAACTTATTTATATCTATAAAATATCTACAGCCATGCAGACTCTGCTCCTTGATTCTTTCCCCAACTCACTGCAGATTCTTAAACAGGAAACTTTGACTCCTGGATCCGCAGATCTTGGTTCTTTTCCTCAGTAAAGGTTAACTCTCCACTACAGCTAACAGACCCATAACTAAACCTTAATTTTTTTTTTGCTTTTGTTTAACTTCTGAGGACTAGGCGTGGGCTACCCAGTAGTTTTTATTTATTTTTGACAAATTAAATACTGCATCTCTCTGCAGTGTCCTCCAATCCATTGATGCTAATGAAGGTTAAAAACAAATACACACATATGTCCAGTTTTGTCCTTTTGCCTCTCAGCTCTTCTACCACCTGCAAAAATAGTCCTTCTTCGGTGCTAGCAACAAAGGCAATTCTCTGACTCCTAGAGCAGAAACTCCTGCCTGCCAGCATTATCCAGATGTCTTGTACTTGGTCCTGCCAAAACTGCAGGTGTTTGCACCATGATCATTCCTGAGATTCTTGCCTGGATGCTTACTTGGAGGAGAAATAAAATTATGTAGTACAAGTGGAAAGGAAAGGGTTGTTATCCTGAGGAAATATATTTCCATTTGTTTCTCTCTAACCTTCCCTTCCTCTATTTGTCTTGAAGGAATTTGTTTTCAAGGCAGAAGCATATCACTAGTCTAAAAAGCAGAATAATAATTTCTTACTTGCTTGTGATAACCATCTCCGTCCCTCCTAGCCTCAACTAACACACTCGTTTACAGCTGAAAGAAGGACAGAGAAGGAAACACTAAAGAAGAAAAGCAGGATGGGAAATTATATGAAGAAAAAATCATGCATATAAAACTAATGAGCTGAAAAAGAGAGAGGATTTAAAAGAGTAAAAGGGTGAGAAATCGAAGTAGGGAGATGTACGAGTTACTAATTTTAGGTGAAGAAAGACTGAAGAATAAGATTTTCCTGAATTAAGCACCTGGATTATCTTCCATAATATTCAGAGCCTCAATAGCAGCAGCAGCTAACAAAGGAGGTAGGGATGCAGAAAAGCAGTAGCCTTGACCAGACAATCGCTGTTGGGGAAAAAGAAAAAAAAAAAAAAAGAAAGAAAAAAAAAGAAAAAATCACTTTTTTGTTTATAGCAGTATAGACAATGTTTTAAAAGTTAATTCACATACATTTAAACAACCTCCTTTCCACACTTACAGGTTCATGGAAGGATTTAAAAGTAGATGTTCAATTAATCTACAATATTTCATAGAACCAGACAGTTTCTGTATGGAATCAAAAGTTGCATAATGATTTTTATTGTAACACTCCTTGCAAATTGCTTAGTAACTAACTCTCATTTTTAAGTGACTAATCCTGCCCCACCATGTAAAAATGAGACCTGGTTTACCTGATGGTCAATAATAAAAGATCTTCCACAGCAAAATCCTCCAATAGAAGCCAGTGAATTTTCCATGTTTGCACTAATAAGATCTATATCATCAATCTGCCGGTTAAATTAACAAGTTATTAAGAGATGCTTTTGATTACATCAAGACTATTATTAAAGATGTATCTTGTTTCATATTATCATGAGTAGTAGAGAGGATCTACCAAACTACCACATATTAAAATGAAGCTACAATTGAAATAACGATCTTAAGCAATACAAAAGGACTTTAGAAATTGAGATTTATGGATCTGTAGACAATTGACATAGGATCACTCTTTTCCAGGCATTGCAATGTGAAGAACACAAACGGAAAAACAAATTTTGTACATACTAGTGACAATTCCTCAAAGCACTCAGTGTGACAGTGTCCTTTAAGAATCTAAGTAAGTATGTAAGTAGTCCCACTCCAGTCAGTAGGAGTTAAAATGTGATTAAAATTGAGCATAAGCCTAATTAAATCAGAGTTTGAACCTTAGAGACACAATTGTCTTATTTCACTTCTTAGTTGCAAATGTATTTTTTGCCAGGCTCCGTAATGCACACTGATGACCACTGCTACAAATTCCCATTCTGAGCATTAAAAACTGAAAAATTATATTTGTATGAATCACTTTAACATAGAAGTCAATTAATCAGATGGTACTTGGCAATCATCACAGTAGCACTGTTTGTTCCCATTTCGAAAGCTGTCTAACATTCATTTTCTCTTTTCCACATTTGGTATTAAGACACTTAAAATGAAAACAATAGGAGATAGGGGAAGACAGAATGAATTCTCAGAATTTGGTATTTCTTCCAAGCTGAACTCAGACACTGTCAGAACATAGCAAGAGATGCTCCATACTAAGACACTGACAACAAACAGAGCACCTTCCTCCTTCCCCAGCTCAGGTGGCTGTGGTAGCAAACAACCACAAGGATACTGTTTTGAATTTCCAAAATACTTCTCAGCTGAATAAACACCACAAAAGGGAAACATCTGGAAAACCAGTTTGGCTTAATTTGCCAGTAAAGTAGTAAGACAGCATCTTTGAAAGGACCATCAAAAGCTTTATCCTATTTTGCCCCACTGGAGTAAAAGGCAATAGGGCAAAGTGGGCTGGCTATACACTGGGAAGAATTTTCTGACTTACCGCTAGCCCCCAAATATTTCTGTGTTAGCATGACATTTTTAAGTGTATGTGGCTGGAAAATACTGCAATCATCATCTCACTGAGTATCCCAAAAAAGGATAAAATTATGTATTGTAAAAATTCTTTTGTCACGTTCCTCATTAAATATAAGAAAAATTATTTCAAATAAGCACATGAAAGAAAAGGGCCAAGACTTGAGTGCTTTAAGATAAGCATTTTAATGCTTTAAGACTGATAAAGTATGTTTAAATTTCTGTTGTATACTACTAAACATTGTTAATGCCACAGGTATAAGAAATAAAATGCACAATTTGCTTCTGCATAAGTATATTGTTCACAACAAAACTCGCAAAAAGGCACTTACATTTATTCCAAAGTGTTCAGTAATCCCTCTTCCATGTTCTCCAAGGACTCCAAAGGAAAGGCTCTCCTCCAAAAATATTCTAACTTTGTATTTATACTTCAATTTTATCTAAAACAAAGCAATTACAAGTCAAGTCCATCAGAATTTGGTAACAAAATGAGTGCTGGAGATAAGGTAAAGACAGACCAGTACAGTATCCTGAATACTGCAAAAATGTCAGCTCTAGCATGTTCTGTCACTAAGACATTTTAAAAGCCTTCAACATTCTTCCACCATGTAAGACTAGAGTAAATTTCCTAAATGTTCATACACCCCAAATTTTTTTTTTTTAAATAAGCTATCAAGTACTTTCAAGGTGATGCATTTTCACAGCATTTCTTCCATTATCTACTAGAATATCACCTGCACAAAAAGCCAATTTATGCTGAATAGCAAGTGTTTTCCTTGGAGTCACTGTTTCTGACAGCTGTGTGAAAGTTTCTTGGAAATATTTTTTTTTATAACTTAGTTTAATGACTTAGTATCATACAGCATAGCTGAAAATACAGTATATTTTACATGTTAAAAATTAAGAACATAACCAGCTATGCATTTGCAAGTGTCATTACATGTACCTTCATAATCATCATCCTGATCAGAAGTTTCAAAACAACGTAAAATCTGGGATCACCATTTTGTGAGCATTTGAGAAAGCAAGAAAGTAAACAAAAAACCTGCACGCAGTGCTCTTCTATGTAAGCTTAACTATATGATACTACTATTTCATTAGACACATGTTTTCATATGCAGAGTTAAAAGGCAAACTGAAACCACTTACCAATTCGGGAAGAGGGCAAACATCTCCTGTGTTCATATATAATCCTTCCACTACAATAAACCTTCGAGTTACACGGGCCTTGCGAGGATTCTTCAGAGAAAGACAGGGTTTCAGTTCATATCAATTGTTACTAACAAGCAAAGCTTTAAAGGTTTATTGACAGGGAAAGACGGAAATGGGAAGGGAAGGAAGAGAATGTCTCTTTTTCAAGCAAGTTTTTACTTTAGTTTAAACTTAGTATTTACCATTTGTAACAAAAATGTAACAATTTGCAATGCCTTATTGGACTAGTTTTTCTTTATTTTGTAATAATTTTAAAGCCTCTAATTCTTACAGAAGATTTAAGATGCCTTGTTTTGCAACAAATCATAACCAATCTATTTGAACTTTATGAATAAAACAATGTAAGTACAGAACAAATACTGCAAAACTTGGTCTCTCTTATATTCATCATTAGTCTCAGCATTTAAAAGGTTTTTCAACAAGTCATTTGTGCACCAGGCTTCTCAATGCAGCACAACCCTCTCACAAGTAGTGACTTCATAAAACACAATCCAGAAGTATTCATAACATTAAAGTTACAATCTCCTTTCCTGATCTCTGGACAATATAGGCCATAAGAATATCCTGCACTGGTTTTTGTTTAAATTTAAACACTATGATTTAAGTTTTGTTGTTTTAAAATGCCATTCCCCTGGTATTCACTTTAAACTTTACAGATATCTTCTGATCAAGGATATTAAGTCATGCGTTTTACTTTTTTCAGTTCTTGTAAAATTGAGAGAACATCTATTTGACTTTCCTGAGTGGTAGGTACCAAAACTAGGCATAGTCCACTCCACAAGCTTGACCACCTCTAGTGGTAAGATCTACCCCTTCCTAGTCAGTATGTCTTAGCTATACACACATGGTCTATATTAAGCTCTTGGCCACCAACTTAATGTTCACATTCAGCTAATTACATTAAGAAACTTTAACCATGTAGCTAAATCAAAGCACTCTGCTCTAACAAACCAAATGTTTTACACAAATTGCATCACTAGTCTGTCAACCACATCTAAAAACTCATGTAAAGATTATGTGACAAAATGTATTTTCCATGAAGTTATGTTAACTAGTATGTTGTCTGTAAATTTGCTATTAATCAGATCCATTACTGACTTAGACTGATGTTAAGCTGATTGGTTTATAATTATGCAGTTTATTTAATCTACTCTACTTTTTCTATGTGTTAACACAAAAGCAGCTTTCTTCCAATTGTCTGTAACTTTCCAGCATTCTGTGAACGAGGCACATAATGGTGATAGCTCTTCAGCTAATTATTTTAAAATTCATTTAACCAAGTTATCTGTACTTGCTGATCCTGATTTTAGTAGCTGCTTTTGGACACCATTTTGTATTACTGTCAGAATGAGAAGCAAGCCATCAAACCGACCCAAATTTTTCAAGAGAACCTCTTAAGAGTTTAGTGCAAGATAGGAGAAGACTCTAAGGAAGTGTCCTGGTTTTGTCTGGGATATTTTCTTCCTAATAGCTGGTATAGTGCTGTGTTTTGGATTTAGTATGAGAATGATGTTTTTAGTTTTTGCCAAGTTGTTGTCATGCTCATACCAAGTCAAGGTCTTTGCAGCTCCCACATCTCTGCCAGTGGGGAGCTGCACAAGAAGCCGGGAGGGGGCACAGCCAGGAGAGCTGATCCAGACTGGCCAAAGGGATATTCCCCACCGTATGAAATCATGTTCAGTGTATAAATGGAAGTTGGCCAGGGGGCAGGAATTGTAGCTCAGGGATGGGTTATTGATCACTGGGTGGTAAGCAGTTGTTGCACTGTGCATCACCTGTTTTTGTATATTCCTTTATCATTATAATTATTATTTCCTATTTCTTTGCTGTCCTATTAAACTGTTTTTATCTCAACCCATGAGTTTTTTTTTCCCCCCCGATTGTCTCCCCCACCCCACCTGGGGGATTGTGGTGAGGCAAGTGGCTGCGTGGTGCTTTGTTGCCAGTGGCTGGGGCTAAACCATGACAGGACAAAAAAAAATTAAAAACCCAGATTTATTCAATAAACTAAAGGGTTAGGACTTTTGTGTTGATTTTACGGTGTAGCATTCAAACTGATAATTAACTTGCATGATTTATCAGTTAAATGCAGTTAAACAAATTTCTAGAAGACCAAAAAAAAGTCTGTGATAATATTTAAAAAAAATAAGATTATTTCATACTTCAGTCACCTGCCATTAAAGATATTCCCTCACTACCAATGCCTGTGAGCTCACTTCCAGTCGTTACGCAGACAAATGCAAATAAATAAGTAACTTTAAAAAAAAAATTAATCTTCATTACATAAGCAACATTAACTGCTCAATAGAGATTCACGAAAACCTAGTAACTGCTTGTAAGCATTGCATCCATTCAATTACACAACCCAGTAAAAAAATGTGGGGCAGGTGGCAAAAAAGAGTATAAATATTTCTTCAAAGGAATAGTACCTTTTGGTCTTCAGTCTCTTGTTCTTTCAACAGTCGTTCAAGGTCAGCCATATCATTATGCTTAAATAACTTGATGTTACTACGAGATGCTTGTAATCCCTTCTGAATAGCAAAGCAAGCAGCTTCATCTCTGTAAATACAGCAAGTCCTTCTAAGTTTGCACTCTGTTTAACAATTATTCAAAGAAAGCTGGCTATTAGAACTGTTCTGCTTTTAAGCAGGTATCTGTACTTATGTATAGTTAAAACCAGATTTATTAAAGCATCATATATTTTAGTTACATTTTGAAAACTAATTTCCAAAGCTTCTCAACTCTCCTATGCACTACAGCCACTAGAAGCAAGCCAACAGGTTTTTTCTTTAAGTGTACACTGGTCCTTTTGTTTGTACGTGACAGTAGTTTATTTGAACACAGCGTTCCATGGACAAGGTATGATACCATGGTAATCATCCCAGAAACCTCTCATACCATTTGCTCTAGGTCTTAGAAAAAAGACACGAAGATGTGTCTGTAACATTTATAGTGATCCTCTAAGTATTCAAAAGCTGCTTTTTACTATCCTTTGAGAATTACTATCTTGGTGTTTCAAGAACTATCTGCCGTTTTTAAGTGCTGGAAAAGCAAATCTCTGAACACAATGGGGTATGCAATTTCATAGCTGCTTAAGTCAAGTAATCTTTTAAAAGTGGCAACTAAATAAAACCTTCTGCACATGCTAAATGCGGTCATTTCAACCACGTTGCTTTTAAGGATGGTGAGATCTTTTGTCAGTGAGAAGCCAAAATACTGTAAGGCAGCTAAATCCAGGATACACTGGCATCTTGAATAGTGTATACAAGCCAGGTTGTTCTCAAAAAAGTTGGTGCAGAAAATGTTCAAAGATGACCAAAAAACATGATCAAAGTTATGAAAGAACTTCTTTTATAGAAGTCAAATAGGCTGCAAGCCTTACACTTAGAAAAGAGAGCACTGAAAAAAGATTTTGGCAGACAAATACAAAAGTATCAGTGTGTTGTGGCTTAACCCCAGCAGGCAGCTAAGCCCCACAGAGCCACTGACTCACTTCCCCTATGGAGAAGATCCATCAGTTCACTGTCTGAAAATCAAATTAATCAATTGAAATTAGTAGGTGTTACATTCAAAACAGGTATTTCTTCATATTTTTTCATAAAATGTTTAAGTTAAACTGTGAAATTACATGTCATAGAAGCATTGTGGATATTAAAGATTTACAAAGGTACTAAAAGAATAGGAAGGCTTAAGAAAAAATCCGTAACTACTACAAAATCCAAACCCTCCTCTTTGGCTCAGAAAGCTTTGACTATTTTTGTATTGTTTCTCCCGGTTTTTTACTCTTCCCTAGACAACTTATGACTGGCTACTCTCAGGGATCAGATACTGAGTTTGCTGAATCCTTAGTTTGACCCTGCATAGCTGTTCTTGTGTTATTTTAATATGTACCAATATTTATCCAACTAATCCATTGCAAATATGCATGAGGCGAACAACTGTCCTGCAAGAAAGATGAAAAGCTAGCAGTAAGCAGGTGAAAACCAAACATGACTGTAAAGTTTCTTAAGAAGAAAACTAAGTACTAAACTTCTGTTAGTCCTTGCATGCACAAATTCAGTTGTTGGTTTTTTTTCCAGCTGAGTGCCCAAGTATGCTCTTCCATGATAGAAACAGTAACTGATTTCATTTAGAGTATTTGGCAAAAAAGTTGTTCGAGCTTGGTACACCAAAATACTTGATCAAAACCAGCATTATTTTCTAAATGGTTAACTTAACATAATTAACAACAATGAAAAAGAAAAATTGAAAGGAAAACTCTTTAATCTGGAATTTCCCAAATAGAAAACAACACTTACACAAACACAATGTCCCCTCTTTTCGAATATGCAGGAATAGCACTGGCAATTGTTGCAAATCCATATGAGTATATAATAGCTTCCTCTGTTCTCATGAATTTTGCCAGTCGTTCTTCTAATTCTAAGTGCACATCTATGAGAGGAAAATTGAAAAGATCTTAGTTTACTTGTTTTCACATCAGAAAGACTATAATTGCTTTTAGCAATCATCTAATTGAAGCAAACAGAATGTTTATTTGTAGGAACAGTGTACAACAAATAACTTCCCAAAACCCAGCTGCAACCAATCCAGCCTTACTTAAAACTGACAAGTAACCCAATATTAATCAGAAGCTTTGATAGATCTGAAAATATTTATGTAATGTGGTGCTCTCATGATCTTACGCAACGGTAATTAAGATCTACTTGGGATTAGACCACAAGTAAATGATGCAGCATTCCTGGACTGTGACTAGGAGGACAGTTACTACAGTCAGACATCAAATAGCCACGTAACTTATAGCAATTAGTACGGTCCTGGTAACAGACTGTCAGTTCATCCAAGCTGATGCTTCCACTGCATATAGCACAGCTATCATTGTAACAGAAAACTGCTCGTCAGGCTGCAACCACATACCATCTCCTGAACACATTTCAGCCAGTTGAAAAGGACACCATCTCCATGCCAGAGATTACTCACCCTTAAGATAAACTGACACAGTTACATGCACAAGCATTTCCCAAACCAATTCGGTCGAAGTGACCCATCTCAGAAACAAAACACTAAATCAAAAGATTTAGATCACTAGAGTGATACCATATGGCAAGTGGATTGCTGCTGCAGAAAGGTGGCCACAGCGTTAAGTATTCTGCCTAATCAAAATAACCTGTATCAGACAAACTGTTATTTTAATTGTGTAACTCTCTTGCCATTACCTGCTTCTGCTAGCAAATGTTAGTCAGAGAATTATGCCTTTCATCAACTGGAAATAAACAGGATTAAAGGGCAAACAGAGGTCCTTAGTGTGTGACTTGAAAGACCATCATGGGCCAAATGCTACCTTTTTGCAACTCTTGAAAGTTAATTAAAACTAAAATCAAATGAGGCAACATCAGTTAAAAATACAGATTCTTCAATGGCCTATAAGGCAGAGTTATGTCAATGTTGCTGTTTCTAGCCAGGTATGAACAGCAAGGGTGTAGGAAGAAAGGGCTTTGTAAAAATCTTAACTTTGCCATACAAAACAAATATCTAGCAAAACCTTTCCCCAAAAAAGGAACATCCACTTCATGTGGATATATCTGCATTACCTCTGGTTTCATTCAGAGGGTAGTAGTCAACAGCTCAATGTCCAGATGGAGAATGATGATGAGTGGTGTCCCTTAGGGATCTGTATTGGGACCAGCACTGTTTAATATCTTCACCAATGGTATAGGCAGTGGAATCGAGTGCACTCTCAGCAAGTTTGCGGACGACACCAAGCTGAGCGGTGCAGTTGACAGGCCTGAGGGAGGGGATGGCATCCAGGGGGACCTGGACAAGCTCAGGCAATGGGCCCGTGTGAACCTCATGAGGTTCAACAAGGCCAAGTGCAGGGTCCTGCACTTGGGTTGGGGCAGCCCCCGGTATCAATACAGGCTGGGGGATGAAGGGATTGAGAGCAGCCCTGCCGAGAAGGACTTGGGGGTACTGGTGGATGAGAAGCTGGATGTGAGTGGGCAATGTGTGCCTGCAGCCCAGAAGGCCATCCATATCCAGGGCCGGATCCAAAGCAGTGTGGCCAGCAGGTCAAGGGAGGCGATTCTGCCCCTCTACTCTGCTCTGGTGAGACTCCACCTGGAGTCCTGCATCCAGGTCTGGAGCCCTCAGCACAGGAAAGACATGGACTTGTTGGATAGGGTCCAAAGGAGGGCCACAAAAATGCTCCAAGGGCTGGAACACCTCTCCTCTGAGGACAGGCTGAGCGCGCGTTCAACCTGGAGAAGAAGAGACTTACTGCAGCCTTTCCAGTACTTAAAGGGGGCTCATAAGAAAGGTGGGGACAGACTTTTTAGTAGGGCATGTTGCCATAGCACGAGGGGTAATGGCTTTAAACTAAAAGAGGGTAAATTTGGACTAGATATAAGGAAAAAATTTTTCACAATGAGAGTGGTGAAACACAGGCACTGCTGCCCAGAGAGGTGGTAGATGCCCCACCCCTGGAAGCCTTCAAAGTCAGGCTGGACGGGGCTCTGAGAATCCTGCTCTAGTTGAAGATGTCCCTGCTCATTGCAGGGGGGGTGGACTAGATGACCTTCAAAGGTCCCTTCCAACCCGAACTGTTCTATGGTTCTATGATTCTGTATTTATACAATAAAAGCAAAAGGTACATTTTCAAGCAACAGCCTTCCAATCACAGTCAAGAGCAATTTTATCCACAAACCTCAAGCTATAATTCTTCAACAATCCCTTCCTAATGTTTACCTGAGCATCAAAAAATGGAATGGAAATGAATTCTTGTATTTCGTTTTCCACTGGTTTCAAAAGGAAAGAAATAGTTTAACCATTTATTATTTGAAAGTTTTCTTTTGCTACCTATCACTGATACAGCTGTATTAGCTGTACCAAACATTTGGAGAAACCTAGAACAGCCTTTCTTCTACAGAGTCTTTTGCAAAGAAGTATACTGATTGCAGTTATCTAATCTACTTTCTGAGAGAGATTTTAAGCAGTCCTTTTTCAGAATCTTTGTAACTTTTTCTTTATTGCTAAATGGACTTCAGGACCAATGAAACAATCTCCAGTTGGGCTTCAAAACAGGACGGATGATCTTTGATTCAATTACAGAACATAACGCTCAGGAAAGACCTTTTTCTGGCAGCAAGCACCAAAAAACAGAGACTGGCCACATGGCACTTAAAATATGCAATATAAACAGCATTCAGATAAAAATGTTTCTTCCTGAAGCCCTGCCAGTAGAGAACAACAAATTAAGGGAAACAAGGACTGAACTACTACTTTCAATGCCCAGCTATTGATACCTAATGGGGAAAACCACCTACATCCTTTAACTAAAAAGCTGGAAAAAATGATGAGACCATCACAGTTAAAGATTAAGATTTGCATGCTTCTCACTGAGGTTTACTCAGCAACAATGACCACTACATTGAGCAAGTGCTAGGTAAAAACAGTGGACAAAAGAAACAGTGTCAGCAATAATGAGCTATCAAATACAATCAGATTTGCATTAAGGAAAAACATTTTACAAACCTAGTAAATTTTGCCACGGGCAAGAACATTTAAGTTCAGAATGACATATAGCATACACAAATTTGATGCATCTTTACATAAGAGAATGAATGCTTTGTATAATTGTGAGGTTGAAAAGCTTAAGTCAGTATTAATTAAGGCTTCACTACCATTCCACTGTGATAAAAACGGAATACTATCTGACTCTCCTTTACTGCAATCATTTGCTTTAGTCTGGTTACATCACTTGGATTAGCCTAGTTTAAGTGAAAGCTGCAAACACTACCTAGAGTACATTTGCAAAGAGGAAGATATGACTGGAACAGCCTTCTACATAATTAAGAAACCTTAATAAAGCTATTATGGTCAACAGCTGCTACCAAGTGCCAGTTTAGTGCCTAGCATGTGCTCATATCCAAGTCAAAAGCAGAACTGAGACCAATTCCCACAACATCTTTTATATATTTTTTCAGGTAGCCAGTCCTGATCTTCAGAGCAGTAGTGAAATTGTGGCTGCCAGGCAATCAACAACAGCCTCAAAAAAAAACCACCACCAAAAAAGTGATACAAGCCTCAGCTGTCATTATGGAGAAAATAACCATAAAGATTCAGTTATGTGTGAATATATTAGTATTTCAAGCTTACCACAGGATAAAAAAAGGGATGGATGCAGTTTTCAGGAATACAGCACAAAGCAAAAATGTCTTAATAAGGACTCAGTAAATCTACAAAATCTCTTCAAACAGGCAGAGATATGAAGAATCAAGTCTCTCAAAATAAATGATATCTACATTTCCAGATAAAAAGATCTCTAATATTGATATAAAATATCAGCCCCTAAGAGGGGATAAGTCTGAATGACAACAACTAACAATCATCAATTAAATCCTATATAGTTAAAGAGGTAAGTAGTTCTGGACACAGTGTGACTCATTTACCGAAGTCCCAGCACACAAAAAAAAGTTTGAGGCATACAAAGTTTGAGTGAAAAAAGTTTGAGGCATACAACATTACTGATGTAAGAAGTATTTCTTATCAGAGATTCATAATCCTGTCATAGTCAAATGTTTAAAGTCAAGGGAAAATGGGAACACACTTTGGGATCCAACAAGAACAGCAGGTATTTGTCTCAAATTTTAAACCAATTCTGTTACTTTAATTGTAAAAATTACCTCAAATAGGTGAGTACAACACCATTTCTTCACTAGTGATGTCATGCAGCAATACCACAGATTATATCTCCTGCTTTGTGAAATGGAGCATTTGCCCAAAAAGTTCAGAGGCCAATGAATAGCAACCAAATTAAATGCAAAAGCTATACAGTTTGGATCTCAGGATTAGACGTCCAAAGAGGGCAGGAAACAACACAAAGAATCTCTCACCAGAGAAAATAAACTTTTAACCAGTCCGTTTCAAATAACTACTAGAAAGAAGCAAATTGACAGAAAAAATTCACAAAACTTAAAATCAGCCTGGACTCAAAAGGCAGGAAGCATTAGTCCAAAAGCTTCTTTGAGCTTTTCGGTGTTTAAAAAATGAACAATAAAAGCCTGAAGCCTGTATGAATTCCAACAGACCACTGCTGAACTGTGATCAGTGAGGGAATCTAGCTTCCTCAAGCTCTCTATTAATCAATGGGCTACCATAATCGTCTTTAGAAATTACGGTTCCAGGCTAATTGAACAACCTGTAAGATTGATATCAAAGACTCAACTTTGTTCTGATATATAGACTTCTAACAAAGCAAAATAGGTACAGCACCTGGTTGATCACTTAAAGGACTAGCTTGATTAACTGAGAAAAGTTCAAGTTAGTCTTGAATTAAAGTCAAGGCTCATTTGAGTACAAACATGCTGTGAATTCCGTCATCTCTGGGAAGAGACCAGAAAGTTCACAAAATGATGAGTCAACAGTTTTAGCCTGCAACTGTGCAGCTATTCAAATATTACTCTTTGGTTTCCATAGAGCATTTCAAAATAAAGAACTGTAAAGAACAATTTCCAGAGGCTGATTTTTAACAACTTATTACTTCTTAAAAAGAATGAAAAAATCCTTAGTAACATGTGCTTACATCATAAAGTCTCTGAATTACAACATTAAAGTTACCAGCAAAGAAAAACGTCATTCTGACTACAGCATTAGAAGTTAACTAATGATCTTTATCATAGAAATCAGACTGCCCTCTTGTGGTCTACTTAGAAACTTATTATTAATTTACACTGAAATTCACCACACATGATTAAATTCTAGTATATTTATTTTCTCTTTCTACTATGACAACCACAACTAAACAGGTTATATTTAACTTTGCAACTCTCCAACACAGCATTAGAAAGAGTAAGAAAATACAATAAATGAGTAAGAAACAAAGGTATGAACGATAAACACTACCAATTCTTAACAATTACAGTAAAAAATGTGTTAGAGGGTGGCTGTTTTTCACAGCAATAGAAATAGTTTGCTGCTTACATACAGGACTATTTTGGCTGACTTACCAAACCAGCCTGAACACCTCTAACGGCAGATCAAAGGAAGGCACTCACCAAAAGTACCATAGAATCCTCTAGGTCCACAAGTGCCAACACCGTATTTCTTCAGAGATGCCTGGGCCGCACTCTTTAACAGAGAAGAATGACATATTTATTCCTACACTAGAGCTCTAACTCTTCTATACACGTCACATTGACAATTTTATAGCAATGTACGCAGGCCAGTTCTTGCATCATGTAACACAACCTGCTTTACAGAAAGTCTTAATAATGTATTGAATTCTATGAAGTAATTTCACATCACAACTATTTTAGACAAGTGTTTAAGCATTGTTCATTGTATTCTAATGATTAAGGACACTAGATACTAATGTAACTTGATAAAGAGGTAGTACACAGTAAGTACAGCAGATTAAACTTTAGCAGAAAGACAAACTTAAATAGCACAAAATTACAAGGTTTATAATCTTCCTTGCTGCTTTAGAAGTATACTACCTGGACAAAGTTTGTGCTTTCTGAAGTCATTCTTAATTTCAAGATAACATACAAAGTAAAAGAGGACTAATCACACAAATACAATAACTGGAAGAACTCACCTTAACCTTTTCATTATCCAAAAGTCCAAGAAAGTTAAATGATGCAAAGTTTATACATTCCTTGCCATTAACAGTGATTATATGGGTGGGAGGACTGGAAAAAAAAAAATTATAGACATTATGAATGAACAGTTGCCATTTTCATAAACAGTCAACCAATACAGGAGTTTTGTTTTTCAACAGTAAAAGGCACACAGCTTTTTCAAGATTGCCTGTCTCCAATTCTTCCTTTGCAGCTGCCGATCAATATTTAAGTTCAGTGTCAAGTCACAAATATACTACCATATGCAGCAAAAACTATATTCCTGTAGTTTAATAAAGAAACCTCAAACACCTTCCTGAGATATTTAATGATTCCTTGTTGAAAACTTAATTCATACAAAGATGACTCCTGAAGAGATAAATAAAACTTCTCCTTTAAAAGCAAAGTGATACCTGTTTGAGAGATGGAATATGACAAATAAAAGGGAAATTTCATTGCTACTTACTTCCATTATGAAAATGAATTTAAAACCAATGTTTTTGTCATAAAGTAAACCCACAATACCAATCTTGTACTGAATAAGGCTCCTGAAATATAGATACTAGCTGTAAGCAGACAAAAGTATTGTACTATCTGTCATCTCAAGTTTCCAACTCTGTTTAATCCATAATGGTTTGAGTAACTCATGTAATCAGGATACACAGAAAGTGTGGTAACACCCAATATTAACAAATGAACAAGAACACAATATATATGAAGCAAAGGGCAGAGAAATTTTCTGCCCTAAAAAATTATTATTTAGATAAACATAAAAAAAGTATAACAAAAAACGGCTATTACCCCTTTAAATGCAAGCACATCCGTGTGCTGTATTGTAAAAGCAACCCTGTTCTGGCAATTATACATTTCAATATTACAAAATCGAAAGTTTCAATTAATGACTCAGAGTGCTGAGAAGTCTCAAAGCTAAGCCAAATACAAGAACTTATGTCTGTCCATTTCTGTATGCATTATCAAACATTACAGTTGAGATCCTATACTATTCCTCAAACACAATAGTTTCAACAAGCTCTTCCCATGTGGAAAATAGTACCAAGCAATTTTCACCATCAGAATTAAACAGGGCTGCTCAAATGTCAAATGCCTGTGCACAGCTGCTACAAATTTGGTTGTTGACAATATTTCAATGGGTACATTTGGTGGGCAAAGCAAATAAACTAAGACTAAGCTATTCACTACAAGTTAAGAGAAAAACTTAACTGCCCTGAACTTCACTTAAAAAAACTTCATTATTTTGTTTTGTGCCTGTTCACTTTAAAAGTTAAGCATATGTTGCTTCAACCAACCAATTGCAAAGCTTACAGAACAGCTTTGGAAGCTAATAGTGGGTGTGGCATGCATCTTCATCACTGTCATCCCATGACATTAAACTCACACAAACTGAACCTGACTCCACAAAAGAGCAGTCCTGCACTACTGCAGTGCCTCTTCTGCACAGTAATAGCATTATACAAATGGGCAGCAAACTGCCTTGGGGAACTGACGTCCATTAAAAATATACCTGGACCTGTTCTTCTGTCTTGCTCATCAACAAGCTGTACCAACTGTTGGAAGTCCTATTAAGTGAAAAAATTACTTTGATTCTCAGATATTCAGAAGAACAGACCTATGTATTTTGGCACTAACATGAGGTTAAGTATATTCCCAGCATACTAGAGGTTTAAACCTGCTAAATTTACAACAATTTGCACCCACAGCTCCACCTCTCAAACCTATAAAATACACTAATGTTCACCAACAACTTGCCCCTAACAAAGCTGTAGCACTCATGAAAACATGTCCACGCTTTGCTATCAGCATTTTACCCAACCTTCTAAAGGAACACTCATGATTAGGCAGAAAACACTCATGGAAAACCTTATTCCAGTGAATAATTATATCCAAAACATGGATGCTAACAATATCATAAAACCTTCCCTGCAGCATGAAAAACAACAAGTCCTTGCAAAAGGAAAACAGTGAATTTCTTTAGTTTTGCTTATCTCTCTTTCCTTAGTGTAACACAGCTCGTTAGTTATCATGGTTAGGGACAACAGTTATGACATACTGAGTGATCCAGCTGGAACTGCAAATAAAAATATAATTACAAGCTATATTCAAAGTACTTCACAGAATCACAGAATTGTTAAGGTTGGAAAAGACCTTTAAGATCATCAAGTCCAACCATCAACCCAACACCACCATGCACAGCAAGTCCTTCAGAAATTGTGTCTTTTTAAGGAATGAAAGCACTCCATCTGTACTTGGACTTCTCACTTGCCTCTTAAGATTTGCATGAATTGAAAAGTCAGTTGCAGAAGATGAAGTTAAAAACCAGATTGCTAGTGCCTTTTTATTTTAAAGGAAAATGAGAATCAGCATGAGAATTTTGCAGACATGCTGTTTTAGGAAGTAAGTTTACTTTTTCTGAATGAGATCATCTACAACTAAGCTTTCTTGCATAGATTAATTCACAGAAAGACTAATCACAAGAATTAATTTCTGGACTGTGACCAAGCTGTCGTGAACACCTTCTTCACCACTGATTTAAGACTGGTCACTTTTTTGTTTTGTTTTGTTTGAACAAGTCTCTGCATTACTGTCTTTGCTTATCATTTGGCAAAGTTACCGGGATTATGAAAATGTTCAGCAGAAAAGAACATACTAACATAAGGCACGAACTGCCTTGCATATTGAGGGAGGAGGAAGTCTACTTTCCCCACACAGTAGGTCAAAATTTTTACTGAAATATTTAATACTTCCTAAATGGTTATGAGCCTATATAAATGCTATCCACACATTACTGCAAATATGCAGTATCAAACCACCTCATAGTAGATAATTAAGATTTATGTAAATCACCATTCACAGTCAACATTAACACATGAAAATCACAAAGAAGAATACCTCATTAGCATCAATGGTACCCTAAAATACTAATTAAAAAGGGGACAGAAATGCTGCTCTTGAGCTGGAATTATGATGCAGACACTTTCATTTCTGTATTAATTCAGAAACATGGGTTAATTTTACAGCCCAAGTTAGTCTCATAGCTGTTGAGCAACTACAGGAAGGTAGGTAGTTGGCAGTTTGAACTTTGCAAGACAAATGCCAAGTTTTCCCCATAGCCACTACTAAGTTTAACAGCTACAACATATTAACACTCTGTCACAATACATTCCTCTAGCTGTAAGCACTGGAAAGTTCTAAATAATTTAAACATTTTCTGAATCAATCTAAAAGATATATTTGTTCAGATTTTTTTTTAAACATCCAACACTTCCTTTAATTCCATTGCTTGTTTCAAAATTCTGAACAATAACAGGAGGATTGTTCATATTACAGTTGATTAAAACAGGCTTCCTTTTTCTAAGACAGACTTTTCCATGGTGGGAGAACCATCAAAATGGAGCTCCCTATGAGAGCAAATAATTGTGCTCTGTCACTAAATTATTTTAAATCATTAGTGTCACTAGAAGGATGTTAAGAATGCTTATATTGTAAAAGTTACTGACATAAAAAATTTGAAGCTTGTGAAAAGAAATTTCGAAGGAACTTCTGAAGTACTGTGACTCTTGCCTAAGTCAGCACACATTTTAAAAGCCTCGTAACACACAAGAAAGTAATGCTGACCCATAATTTCAGGACAAAACAACTTCACCACCAAGCATCTCCACTTCTGGTTGTCCAAAGAGGATCAACTTTTCAGGAAGCCATGCCAAGTGGCTAGCCACAAAATCAGTTTCTTCTGAAGTGATTTGTGATGACACTGTTTCCCCTCCCAACCCCTACAGAGAAGGTGGTAACCACTTTTGGAGGTCTAAGTCTACATATTAAGAAAAAAATGAAACAAATTGCTACCAAACAATACAGACCCACAATGAAGGCAAAAAGTGTCCCTGCTCCCCCCAATACTTAAAAAAAAAAAATTACAACATTTAAAGGGGGAAAAAAATTCTTAATAAGATAGTCGATAATGTTGCAAAACCAAGGCCAGTGGCAAATTCTAAAAATGCAATTCATTTATGAAAGGTTTTAAGGATATGGAAATGCTTAGTAAGAAATATGCTTAAAAATATGGACATCAAGTATTTGAGTTGAAATAAAAAACATAATTTATTTTTGTTACATTTACCCTGAAACAATGTTGTAGTTGAGAGCTGGGTGATCTTTTGGTACAGGAGGTACAAGAGGCTCTGGCTGCCACTCTTCAATCAACTCTTCTTTTTCCTGAACAGAAGAAAAGAAATACTGCTCAAAAAGTATTTCCATTAGAAAAGGCATTATGCGCTAATAAACAATTGGTAATAGTTGTATGAGAAATGATGTATGCTAATATGCGTCACCTTTCTGAGATGCTTAGAATCGATATTATCTCAGTATGTTCAACTGAGCAGCTCAGAACTCTTCAAAGGGAAGGAGATGTAAAGAAAGATAGCCCAGCTGTGCCTGTGCATTAAAGATTTCATGATCCGATAATCGAGAGAAGACACCAGCTTGGTGCCCCTGCCAAATTTTAATCAATACTGTTTCATTCAATCTATTAGTTACAAAAATTCTTCTTTAGAGTTTCTGCAATTGAATACAAATTACAGAGTAATTGAATATAAACTGCCTCAAGGTACATTCTCAAGTCTTCAACAGTGCTGTTTAAACAACTGTGGCATTGAAATACTTAGCAAAGTAACACATATGTGAGCAGGACACAATGGAGAAAACCTGCCAAACGCTCAAGAAATGGTAACAACTACTAAACCACGTATCCCTGACCTAACCATAGAGGAATACTGAATACTTTTCAAAGTGCTTTAAACTATTTGGAAAACCACAGTTAGATGATTTTCCAAAGGACACGCAGTCGATCAGTGTAATAGGTGCATTAGACTAGTTCCAAATAAATTAGCAACCACTCAGGCAAATCAACAATACCATCCTTCATACCATGAACGCAGAACTTTCCCAGATGATTATTTACTGGTACAGCAAGACACACCTGATAACACATTTTTAACACAGAACTTTGAATGGTATGACTACAATGGGTTTATATTTCTCTATTATTTCAAAAAGCAGTAGAATATTTAAGATTACTTGTTTCAATACCAAATTATAAATTCTGCAATCAATTATTAGAAACACCACCGCAATACCTTTTCCCATTTCTATTTTTTCCAAATACAGTTTTCAAAGCCTTCGAAGTAAAAAAACCAATTAAGATATGAAAAGATCAAAAGGAAACTACATGCAATAATACATTTATTCTCCTCCTGCATTTTTATCACTTCCCTTTTACTAAGCTAATGAATATCTTTGTTTCCAAGTATTTCCAGAGTATTCATTAATATCCTGGGAGCTCCACAGAGGTCTATTTCAAAACACAAATGGAAATTTCAATAGCCCTGTATTTCAGAAAAGATCCTTTTTAGTACTTGCGTTTCTACTATTTTGAAGATGTACTTTAAATATCTTTTAATTTAGCTTTCCCATGTTAGATTTCTTACTGAAATTTAACCCATTGGGCATATATTTTAAAGAAAATAAAATGCTATTAATACATGCAACAGAATTGAATATATTCAGTATTTTGAAATGGCTACACTTATCTTGGAAAAAGTGCTTAGTTTCTTTAGCCACCATAGGACAGATCCCAGCTGAGGCCTTGCACACAGTTCCACATATTAAGGAAAGCATTAAAGTAGGGGGGTTTATTAGTTTACCCTGTACTAGTGCCACTCATAGCATATCAAAAACCAGATTTTGATGCTTCGATTTAAAAATTCCAAACAGATAACAGAACCAGAGAACTAAACAATAATAAATTAAGCTGTCTGTAAATACTACTGACTACTGTTCATTATTGCATTCTATTAACAAACCTCATGTTTGGCATGACTCGGCAAATACTCAAGAAACCTACGGGTGAAGATGACCAGATGATACACCTTATAAAGATTAACATGCAACAGTACCAAAATGGTGGAAATTCAGGTTATTTGCAGAGTGGAAACACAACCATAACCCTGTATGCTAAACTCCACTGATGCAAGACAGAGAATGTTAATTCCATCCTGGTCTCAGAAGAGGTACTAGAGTATGTCTCTATAGAATCACAGAATAGTTTGCATTGGAAGGAACCTTTGAAGGTCATCTAGTCCAACACCCCTGCAATGAGCAGGGACATCTTCAACTACATCAGGTTGCTCAGAGCCCTGTCCAACCCGTCCCTGATTGCTTCCAGAGATGGGGCATCTACCACAGTAACCTGCTACAGTGTTTCACCACACCCACTGTGAAAAATTTCTTTCTGGTATCTAATCTAAATCTACCCTCTTTTAGTTTGAAGTCATTACCCCTTGTCCTATGGAAACATGCCCTACTAAAAAGTCTGTCCCCACCTTTCTTATGAGCCCCCTTTAAGTACTGGAAAGGCTGCAGCAAGGTCTCCCTGGAGCTTTCTCTTCTGCACACTGAACAACACCAACTCTCCCAGCCTATCCTCAGAGAAGAGGTGTTCCAGTCCTTGGAGCATTTTTGTGGCCCTCCTTTGGACCCTATCCAACAAGTCCATGTCTTTCCTGTGCTGAGGGCTCCAGACCTGGATGCAGGACTCCAGGTGGAGTCTCACCAGAGCAGAGTAGAGGGGCAGAATCGCCTCCCTTGACCTGCTGGCCACACTGCTTTGGATGCGGCCCTGGATATGGATGGCCTTCTGGGCTGCAGGCACACATTGCCCACTCACATCCAGCTTCTCATCCACCAGTACCCCCAAGTCCTTCTCGGCAGGGCTGCTCTCATACCGGGGGCTGCCCCAACCCAAGTGCAGGACCCTGCACTTGGCCTTGTTGAACCTCATGAGGTTCACACGGGCCCATTGCCTGAGCTTGTCCAGGTCCCCCTGGATGCCATCCCCTCCCTCAGGCCTGTCAACTGCACCGCTCAGCTTGGTGTCGTCCGCAAACTTGCTGAGAGTGCACTCGATTCCACTGCCTATACCATTGGTGAAGATATTAAACAGTGCTGGTCCCAATACAGATCCCTAAGGGACACCACTCATCATTCTCCATCTGGACATTGAGATGTTGGCCACTATCCTCTTAGTGCGACTATCCAACCAATTCCTCATCCACCAAACAGTCAACCCATCAAATACATTTCTCTCCCACTGAGAGAGAAGGATGTTGTGGGGGACAGTGTCAAAGGCCTTACAGAAGTCTAGATGGATGACATCTGTAGCTCTTCCCCCGTCCACTGATGTGGTCACTCCATCCTAGAAGGCCACTAGGTTGGTCAGGCAGGACTTGCCCTTGATGAAGCCATGCTGGCTGTCTCAAATCACCT